GTTTAAATAGGGATACAGGTGCACCCATTGCAACAATGAGATGTACAAATCGTTATGCTGAAAAATGAACTTTACAACTGGGGGGGAGGATGGGGAGTGTAAGTCAGGAAGGGGGGTGGGAGATGGGAAAGGATGGGAAGGGGAAACAAAGGAGGAGGCAACAATGCTTGATAAGAAATGTACTCATTACCTTGCCCATGTAATTATGACCACTCTGTATGGTATTTTCACAATTAAAAAAAAAGAAAAATAATCATTTGAGGGCCCCAATGTAAGTTATGTCTTGCAGGTTTTGCCAACTCAAATCATTTACCTTGTAAAATTTTCTCGATATTCTTGTATCATTAATGTTTCATAATTCATAAACATATTAATGATCTTACTCTTTCTATTTTGTACAATCAATATTTATTTAAACAGTCACAAAGGAAAAATTTAATGAAATATATAAATAAATGGAGAAATCATAAACAACACTTTAAGTTGGATACTGAGGTATACTGAGTCTTATACTCAGATATACTGAGTCTTATGCTTAGTCAGTACTCAAATCAAGAAACAGAAAATCACCTTCTGGGATCTCCCCTGGCTATGTCATTGATACTACACCCTTGGATAGCTCCTGATTCTGCCACTTGCTGATCCTCTAATACAATGAGAAATACACTTGCAAAATATTCAGAAAGTGACCATTTTGAGATTACAAATTCTTCCAAATTGTCTGGCTTTAGTGGTGAATAGTGGGAATGGAATGAGATTATAACAAAAAGTATGTCACATCCTAAGTATGAAGGACCTATATTGTCAGCTTTCTTTACTTTTTTTTTATGGTCCCAGCTGTGGAAAAAGGGGAACAGGCCATCATTATAGCACAGGTCATCATTATAGTGCCTCCTGTAGATTACTGAATGTTCACTATAATTAGACTGAGCAAGTCTCAGGACTCAACAAATTAAGGTGCAGCAGCGAAAAGGCAAAGTTGGAGAAGGAAGTGCACAGGTAAGGCCACTTACATCTTGACAACACTGGGAATAGGGCATGACCATTGGGACTCTGAGAAGGATAAGTAGAGCCTGGCTGTTGCTGCTTTATCAGAGTGCCCACCTTAAACATGACCTTGAGACTCCATAGGTAAGTGCTGCTGATTGCTGGAGATGGGGGATGTCTTTGGCTTTGTAAAGGAAGCTGCTGTGATAGGGCAGGTCAAGGTCAGGGAATGAGAAGATTCTCAACTCCCCTGTCCTTTAGAGAAGAGGGAAGGAGACAGAACATAATTACCCTTGTTATTTTCCTAATTGTTTCCAAACTGCCACTGCTTCTGTTTCAGTGACCTATGGAGGCCACTGTGGTTGATACATTATATTCAATGCCGCTATTTTATATCCAGGCCAAGGAGATACTGAAACACTGGGCCTCAATGGCATGTCAGCCTGGATGTGTGTACACACTTCTGCTCTGTGTTTTCCCTGAAGACTTTTTTTTGCCAGTCCTGAGGCTTGAACTCTGGGCCTGGGCACTGTCCCTGAGCTTTTTCTCTAGGCTAGCACTCTACCACTTGAGCCACAGCACCACCTCCAGCTTTTTCTGTTTATGTGATACTGAGGAATTAAATCCAGTGTTTCATTCATGGTAGGCAAGCACTCACCACTAAGCCACATTCCCAGTCTGACTTGGTGTATTTTTGCCTCAAAATAGTAGGGGTTTTATTAAAACTGTGAGTTCCTTCTCTTTTTTTTTTTCCTTTTTTCTTTTTCTTGCTGGTCCTGGGGCTTGAACTTAGGGCCTGAGTGCTGTCCCTGAGCCTCTTTATACTCAAGGCTAGCACTCTACCACATGAGCCACAGTACCACATCCAGCTTTTATTGAGCAGTTTATTGGAGTTAAAGAGTCTCATGGCCTTTCCTGCCAGGGCTGGCTTTGAACCACGATCCCCAGATCTCAGGCTCCTGAGTTACTAGGATTACAGGTGTGAGCCACCAACACCAGTCTTCCATCTTATTTCTTGAGTCCTTCAGACTTCATATAGTAAAATACCTTTGCCCTCTTTATTAAAATTTTATGTATTCAGAATTTTCTGTTTCCTACATCCAGAAATACTACATTATATAGTATTGAGTTTTAAAATGAGGGAAAGAAAAACATGCTTGAGAACACATAATGATATTAAATTACTTTTAGAAAATTAATCTTAGTTCCTTGCTGGTCACTTTGCTAAATACCTAGCCTCAGCTCACAATACACTTCATTCTATATGCTTTCTTTGTCTCTGCTTTATAAATGAGAATATTGGGTCTTACACACACACACACACACACACACGTGCATGCACACACAAAATGTGATCAAGTTCATGTGTTCATGCAATATAAGAATTGGGGAAAACAGCATGTGAATTTTAGAGTAGTTGACTGCAACGTTTCTTAAAAATCTTGAATTTTATTCTTCTCAAGGTTAATGATATCTTTGATATTCCAACATCTGAGAAATGAATACTCTTCCTCACCCACCCCTTGACCCCCCTCCCACACGCTATTTGCTACAGAAAACCTTAACTTGACTTGATTCACACAGCCTGCATTTTGTTGATCCTTGTATCTAAGGTAAGAAACAGTGAGACCAAAGGAGGATATGCTTCGGAAAGGATCACAAGCGCTCAATAGCTATGTACATATAAAATTATATTTATCTAAATGAACTCTAAGAAATGGAAACAAGAGGTTTTTTTGTTATTGTTTGGTTTTTTCTCCTTTGTCATTGTTTTTGTTTTCTGTACCTTTTGTCTTTCATGTAAGATTATCTGTTTCAGGTAGACTAAGGGGGGAGTACAAGAATGGTGGGGGAAAGTGTGAATAAATGCAGTAGTGATACTCACTAGACACTATGCCGGAGGGGGAGGTCAGGAGGAAAAGAACAAAAGAAAGGGAAAAGAAATGTACTCCTTGTAAACTTGTTCAACCACTTTGGAAAGCAGTATGGCGGTTCCTCAAAAGACTCCACATAGATCTCCCCTATGACCCAGCAATCCCACTTTTGGGCATTTACCCAAATGATCACAAACAAGGCCACACCAAAGCTACCAGCACAACTATGTTTATTGCAGCATTATTTACCATAGCTAAGATATGGAACCAACCCAGATGCCCCTCAGTAGATGAATGGATCAAGAAAAAGTGGTATATATACACAATGGAATTCTATGCCTCCATCAGAAAGAATGACATTGTCCCATTTGTTAGGAAATGGAATGACTTGGGAATAAATATATTAAGTGAAGGAAGCCAGGCCCAAAGAAACTTAGGTCCCATGGTTTCCTTTATTTGCAATAACTAGTATATGTCTGAGTCAAGCAGAAAAGGTCAGATAAGTTGATGTTAGAGAAACGAACCCTAAGATATGTATTCAAATGTTTTTTTTCTTTCAGGTGATTGTTTCTAACACATTTATAAAATTATTTCTTTGTTGTTTTGTATGTCCCTCCCCCATGGTATAAGCCCTGCTTTCACTGTATTTGAGGTTGGTATAATTAGTGGAGGGGAAGGGAAAAAACAAATAGTTTAAATAGGGATACAGGTGAATCCATTGCAACAATGAGATGTACAAGTCCTTAGGTGGAAATACGAACTTTACAACTTTGGTTGGGGTGGAGGAAGATTGGGGGGGCAGGGGGCGGATGGGAAGGGATGGAAAGGGAAAACAAAGGAGGGGGCTACAATGCTTGATAAGAAATGTACTCATTACCTGCCCATGTAATTGTAACCCCTCTGTACAGTATTCTCACAATAAAATATAAGAAATGTACTCATTACCTGATTTATATAACTATAACCCCTCTGTACACCATCTATAGAATAACAATTTTAAAAAACAGAAATAAAACAAATGATATGAGAAAAGGAGCCATAAATTGTGTTTAAAATTAATTTTATTTACAGAATTTATTTAAATCCATAACACATCAGAATCTATAAATAGAAATGCTTCCAATAAACTGGTACTTTGGAAGGCAGCAACTATTCACCAAATTATTTAATAATCTTTCAGTTTCATAATGTACAGAACATCCAAATAAATATATTATCACATTCTGCTTTAAATACTATTAGTCTTCATTCTTTTTTAAAATTTGTTTTTCAAAGAGTATTAGTAAAACTGCTTTGGTGAATGACAACTCTTTTGTAAAACTATTTAAAGATAATATACATATTCTATATATATAAATAAGTAACAATAAAAAAGAATAAGTAAATTATATATGATTAACTAACAAAAATAATATTTACTATAAAAATATGATACATTATATATTAATTATAACCAATATGTATTATATTCTTTGTGGATTCATTACATATCAAAACTTTGAACTTCTCATTCTCTCACAAATTCAAGCAAAAAATCTGAATGGAGGAGATAAGGAAGTACTTTCCTTGAGGATTATGTTTGTAAATAAGGCTCTGTGGTCTTGGGAAAAACAAACCAGTTGTCAAACTAATGAGTGCATTATATAGCTTTACTTTGGAAAGCACTATGAAGGTTCCTCAAAAGACTAAACATAGAGCTCCCCTATGACCCAGCAATCCCACTCCTGGGCATTCACTCAAAGGACCACAAACAAGGCCACACTAAAGTTACCAGCACAACTATGTTCATTGAAGCATTATTTACCATAGCTAAGATATGGAAATCAACCCAGATGCCTCTCAGTAGATAAATGGATTAAGTAAATGTGATGTTCTGCTGTTCACTAGTTGGGAATAATTTCTTTCAAGAGAATTGTTACTTACAAATAAACTATAACATATTTGATTACTTCATTGTGATTTTTGTCTTATACATAGCATAACAGAACTGATTTTTTTTCACATTTACTCAAAACAGGAATGAAATAGTAATACTCTCAATGTCCTTCTGTTCTAGTGAGTATACCAACATCCAGACAGATGTCCATCTCTGTGAATCAGCACATAGGGGCTGAAAATTGCATAACCAATGGTCAAAAATTACTGAATATATAGAATTATGGAATAATTCTCTAATGAGAAATTTGAATGTAAAGAAATAAAGCAATCTGTCCAATAGAAGAAAAGAAAACAAAGCATCAGAAGAAGAACACTTTTTGCAGCTTTTATTTCAGGAGTTGTGTAGAGAAGCTTGGCGTTCTGAAGGTAGAGAACACGTTGGTGATGTTTAAGGAGAAAAAGTACCATATAGCCACTGGTTGAACCCATGATACCCTGAAACAAAACATCTCTCAGAACCATGAAAGTGAAAGGAATATCGTTTTCTTTCTTCATTTTTCCTTGTATAAAAAAGCAATAGTTGTCACTTTGGCTAAGTTGTGATGTGTTCATAGGGACATAATGGATGTAGAGTAAGTTTATGCTTATCAAGGAGTTGACTATCCAAAAGAAGACCAACAAAGGAAAGATGTGCCAAACAGACCTGGGTTTGAACCTGTACAATCCAGAAGCTTTGGGACTGATGATGATGACCTGGACTATGGTGAGCAGACTGCTGGTGCATATTGAAAAGCCCCGGGCCACTCTTGACATATAAACAATTATTTTACAGGTTATATCACTAAGGAAGTTCTTCAGGCCAAAAGCTGCTATTGTCCTTGGCAATCCTTTGGAAAGAAGCATTACAATATTTGTAAAAATCACATGCATGAGAATAAATTGTATAGATTTCTTGTCAGTGCCTCCTCCAAACCTACACATATAAATGACGAAAACAGAGATGTTTCCTACAAGGCCAAATACTGTTAGAAAGAGGAAAAGCAGTCCTGTGACCAATTCCAACCCCATTTGTTTCTTCTTAGGCAGAAAAACGTAGACCTGGTGAACACATTTTTGAAGAAAGTATCAGTAATGATTCTGTGTATCTAAAAATATTTCTTGTCATAGAAGTTTTCTAGTACAGAGGTGACATACATGATGGATGTAATGGTACAGTTTATCCAAAGAAAACTCTCTCTTTCTCTCTTTTTCTCTCTCTCCTCTCTCTGTCTCTCTCCTGACCTTTTTCACAGTCTACATGTGGTTTCAAAAAATCATGTTTACTACTAGTATTAAACTACCTAAAATTTTTAGCCAGCCTTTTCAAACATATCCATTCATAATTGAATTGGAGCCACAATTTCTCCCAATCTGAATTTTTCTCTGTTATTTTTTGTTATTTGTGTCACAGTGTATCATATTCTCATTATCCAATTCGAAAAGCTTGAGGTTCATAGGTAACTGTCTGCCTCTCTCATGGACTATACATGTACACTTGTAAAATCAGGTTGCTTCAACTTTAATATCTCAAATCTTATCTACATTTCAGCTTCCAGAGTATCTTCTTTTAGTGTGTGTGTGTGTGTGTGTGTGTGTGTGTGTGTGTGTGTGTGTGTGTGTGTCTGTGTCTGTCAGTCGTGGGGCTTGAACTCTGGCTTGGGTGCTGTCCCTCAGCTCTTCATCTAAGGTGAGCACTCTACCATTTGAGCCACACCACCACTGCTGCTTCTGGTTTTCTGTTCGTTCACTGGAGATTATAGTCTCACAAACTTTTTCCCCCGGGCTGGCTTTGACCTGTGATCCTCAGATCTCAGACTCCTGAGTAGCTAGGATTACAGGCATGAGCCACCTGTGCCCACTCCACTTCTGGCTTTTTAAAGGTGGAAGAGACTCAGATTTTTCTACCCTGCTAGGGCTGGCTTTGAACTATGCCCCTCAGATCTTAACCTCCTGAGCAGCTAGGATTACAAGAGTGAGTCACTAGTGCCAGTCATAGTGTCTTATATTTTGTTCCACATTCTTTTATGGTTTTCAATTCTATTTTATCTCACATTTTGATGAGCATGCTAATTTCCAGCAAGTTTTTTTTTGTCTTGGATCTAAGTTTTATATCTTTGATGCTTGTACCTTAATGTGTATGGAGATGTAGTTTATCTAAACTTCAAACAAATTTGTAATTTCCATGCTTACAAATATTCAGTGATTTTTTTAAACAAATATTCAGTGATTTTTTTCAGTCTGTAGCCTGAAGTGAAATTGTTTAAGTTCTTGCTGTAAATCCCAGTGACCAAAAAAAAGCAGCCAAAGATATTCAGAAACAAATCTTTGAGAAACTTGCATAACTAACTGGCTGCAGGTAGGGATGGTGTCCTAGAGGCATCCTGTAATGTTACCTAGGAGAGTCTTTAAGAAGAGATCTGAGTTCCATTGCGTGATATCAGGAGTCTTTGAAAGGAAGCCTGGATCAATTCTGAATGTGATGAAATATATCAAGGTGGATTAGGAGAACAGAATTGTTACTTGTCATGAGACAAAGTTGCCAATTAGAAATCTACAGTAATATCTTCAAGTAGCAGAGATGGTTGTAGCATCACTGATTTGTAGATCACTCAGGGGGTCATGATGGGCATGTTATAACTGCTGGAGAAAAAAATACTTTCAGTTAAATTTGTAACAGTTTACTTTGTCACTTCTTCTTTCTTTTTAAATTTTAATATATTTTTATTTTCTTTAAGAAGCACAAAGAGTTGCTACACAACAGAGCAGCTTATGAATATAGTGCCTCTTGATTAATGTCACCCCTTTGAGCATTCTCACCCGCCCCTCCCACCTCACCCCTTCCTTTGCTTTTCTTCATTTTTAAGTTATGTATTGAATATTTTTGCCATTAAAAAAAGCAGTCAATGGATGGAATGTATGTTGGTCTGTGTCAACCTTTCGACCCACCCCTTCCTTTATTTTTCTCAGTTCTGTGGCATATACAACGCATTCTTGCCTGCATTTCTCCTCATTTCTCTTGTTCATACTTCTACCCCTCTCTCCTTGCACACCCCCTGCAAGTACCCATTTCCTGGTACTTATTTTATTGGCCATTGATTTAGTCTTTCTAAAGAATTATACTTGTTGTGCTCTCCATAAAGTTTATTATACTTTCATTAATTCATTTATAACCCACTTTGGTTCTACTGGATATGTTTACTTCTAGAGTCACAGGCACATTTTCGTTCCCATAAATGAGGGAAACCATGAAATGTATGTGTTACTCTGGGTCGGGCTTACTTCTCTCTCCTCCTGTCCACTCCCCCTTCTGTCATGGGGCTTGCACCCAGGGCCTAGACACGGTCCCTGAGCTTTTTTGCTGAAGACTAGTGCTCTCCCACTTTGAGCCACAGCACCACTTCTATTTTTTGAGTGATTAATTGGAGATAAGAGTCTCACAGGGACTTCTCTGCCCAGGCTGGCTTTGAACTACAATCCTCAGAGCTCAGTCTCCTAAGTTGCCAAGGTTACAGATGTGAGCCACTGGTACCTGGCTTGGCTTACTTCTCTTAATATAATTTTTTCTAATTCTTTCCATTTCCTTACCAGTGGTACAATATTATTCTTTCTGATGGATGGTGCAAATATTTCTTCCTTTCTTCTTCTTTTTTCTTCCTCACTTCCTCTCTCCTCCCCCCTTTTTTTCTGGTTAACCCTAAAGATATTCTGATTTTTATCAGCACAAACCTCTAATTTTCATACTACAGGACTGCATAGGTTATTATTCTTTCTCATGTAAAAGCTTCAACATCACATCTAACCAAGGACATCTGGCAAGCTACAGACAGCATGTCCAGAATGAAAGAAACTGGAAGTTTAATCCAATTCTTAGGATTTGAATACATTAGAAATACGTGGAATACAATTTAAAGTTTTCACCTGTACTTTTTACTAAATATTGAAAGGTTACTTTAAGTTTTTCTATCCTGAAAGTCTCTGGCAGCATGAATAGTTTGAACATAGGCCTGCTTCTGGGTTTGTATGAGGTAGTTCCATATATTAAGAACTATGTGAGGAAATGAAATGACTATGACATGAATACTCTTTCAGACATCTAAAAATGCAGCATAAATGGTTTTAAAAGACAGGCTTGCACTCAGATTGATGTGTAACACCCCATCTGGACCTAAAACTCAGGAAGTGAGTCAGATACAAATTTCATTTTCTCCAGTAATCTAATGGCACTATTGCTCCTTATTGCATAACACTTGGATCCTATGAAAATAATATGCCTCCATTCTAGTAGCAGCTTGGAAAATTATTACTAGCAATTCTTTTTTTTTGTTGTTGTTCTTGTCAGTTGTGAGTCTTGAACTCTGGGCCTGGGCACTGTCCCTCAGCCCTTCAGCTCAAGGCTAGCACTCTACCACTTGAGCCACAGCACCATTTCCTGTTTTCTAGTGGTTAGTTGGAGGTGAGTGTCACAGACTTTCTTGCCCGGGCTGGCTTTGAACTGTGATCCTCAGATCTCAGCCTCCTGAGTAGCTAGGATTACAGTTGTGAGCCACTGGTGCCTTATTAGCAATTTCTAAAGGAGCAATTGGATATTTGTAATAATTGCCATAGATCCACTAATCAAAAAAGTATATATGCAGTGAAGCTGATTTATATGTATGGTTTCATAGTAAGTTAGAATAGGAAAACTTTAAAGGTGATTTCACAAAGAATGCCTTCAGATTAAGCACAAATACAATCAGGTGGTGAACAACACAATGGAAAAGGAAGCATATGGTGTATAATGGAAATATAGAAATGAAGCAAAATTTAGGTGAGCAAATTTTATGAAAAGCAATAATGCGGACAGAAGTATAATGCATATGAAATTGAGGCTCCCCCTCCTCAGTTTTTCCTAGTAACTTGAAGTCCTTATGTCTTTCTTACTTTTAGAAGAAGAGAAAGGTAAAATCTTATTCAAAGTCTCACCCAAAGCCTTCTAATCTTATCAGTTTCTGAATCCAGAGAAAAAGACGCTCAAGCGTTTGTTCCTAATGGTCTCATTCTTCTGGTTCCGGGTATATGCATTGAGATACCTAAAACAATGGCAGACCCTGAAACTAATAGACCCTCTCTTGAACATAGTAAAAAAGAAATCAAGACTTAGGCTTCTGATAAATATTTACATGGGACACATGAATCAATCAAAGTATTTTCAGATCTACTCACTGTGGTAGCTGTGGTGCACAGAAGTCCTGGGTTAGTCCTGCTAAGCAGAGGCTTCTCAGGCCATATTTGTACCTTTTGATTTAAAGAGCTGTTTGCTTGGATATATTTTACCATGAAGATTTTAGTTTCACAAGTGTCACTTTGTTGGGGAAAAGGAAATCCTCTGCAGAATCTCAGTCCCTAAAGTGTAACTTTCCCTCTCCCTCCACAATTACTATATTTGTATATCCCAGAAGTTGTCTTAGTGTTAATTAGGAGTTAATTATCAAAGGATGTGCAGCAAGACAGTGAGCAACTAGGTAAGTTTCTGTATCTAGAGTTTTCCATTTCCCCAAACCTGCCTTCACTTTGTCAAAACTTTTCTTGAATCAAAATGGAAACTAGCTTCAGAAACACAGGATAAGGCTCTTTCTTTCCTTATGTCTCTTGAAGTATAAGAAAGTAATCAATGAAAATCACTACTGAGAAGCTTGCTTTCTCAGCAAGTCCAAAACATAGATTTGGATAGGATAAATGACCCCTTGCTCTCTTCTGGCCACTGGTAGCCACATTTAACTTTCAAACTGCCTCTTACTGTTGTATATATACCAGTCCTGGAGTTTGAACTCAGGACTCTAGACCTGAGATTTTTTTTTTCTCCTCAGAGCTTTGTATCACAATGCTTAGATCTCACACTCTTGAGTAGTTAGGATTATAGGCCTAGGCCACTGGCACCCACCTATTGATTACTTTTTTAAAAGAAAATATTAAATCCAGTTTAGTACCTTCTTATTAGCATATATTAAATTGTACAATGTAAATTATTTCTTTATAAATGAAATAATGAT